AATCAACGACCCATATAAACAACTTTACTGGTATATGAGTTTTGAGGCTTGTAACCGAAGATAACTCAACTAGAATGAAACAAATATCTAGTGATTTTTGACTGGTAACCACATGCCTACAAGATGGAAAGTTTAAATTACCACGAATATTACGGGTTTCAACCTTTAAGCAATCTTTCTGTTCGCTACTAACAACCTCAAAACCCTTTTTTTTTAGACACCAACTTAATGGTCTAGAGATATCATCCCTCTCACAAAACCCAAAGGTGGTATTTGCGATCCCAGATATCGTTATTAGTGTATACTTGAAAGAAGTCTTTATCCAGAACCAAACAATTATCTAATGATTTCAAATTCGCAATCACTATTCAAATGATGCAAGTATGAGAAGTGAACTAATTTCAAATTAATCTATATTCACATTTAGTTTTGAAAAACAAACACAGAATCTAAGTTAACAGAAAGTATATATCAGTAATATAAAAAAGCCCTTCACCACGTAAGAATTCCATTATATATCCACCACAGCGGCATAGACTTCTGACATGAACCCTATAAGCAGCTATGGTCTTATGTTTTCTTACGAAGAAAAAATACTGTTATTTTCGCTTCGACTATGCACCAGAAGAAGTAGATTCACTACATAATAAACAGTTCACTTTTATTTATGGCTTCTGGAAAGTTCGCCATTTCATCCATTAATCGGTCGAAATATCAACACTGAATGTCGAACAACCCAAAAGCCAAATTATTTTTAATGAACTGTAAACAAAGAATTTCTACTACAGACTCCAACCATAAATACCATCACTATACTAGAGGAGATTAGCTGAGTTGAAGTTAATTATTGGGAATTTCTATGATGCAAACGACTACAAGAAAATTAACGACTGGGAAGTATAGTATCATTTTCGTTTTGGATGCAAACCGAGTGGATACTAATTTTACCATTAAATCCTATGCATTATATGATATTTCAGTCGAAATCTGTTCAGTATGTTTTGTGAAATGTTTCTTTTCTTTTTTCTTTACCAAAACATAAATCAAAGTTTATATTTATTCAAGATTTTAAAATTATTTTCAGCTTGCGAGGTAGTTTATGCTCAGTACCCTTGTGATATGTTATTGAATGTAAGGACAGTTTACTAGATTTCTTGGATGAGTTGGTTATAGTCAACGGTTATAATGTGAACGTTATTCCCGACACTTTGACCATTTCCCAGTTCGTTTAGTAGGTGAATACTGAATATGAATGTAATCTTTAACAAACATTTCATTCCAAATCCTAACATTTGATAAATTTATGTCCTTCCATCCAGCATACCGTTACACAAGGAAGTTGTGGACAACTTCAGACAAGTGAAATGAAATCTTTCGTGAAAGTTAAACTTAAACAGTTCCGGGTACAACAAATTTACTGAGTGTTGAGAAAGTTGCTGATAACCTAAGCTAGTCTATTCATTAACTTTATTTTTCTTGTTGTATGCTCCAAAGGTCATAAACATTTGTTTCCGTAGATTGCAAACTAACATCGAAAGTAACTAAAATACCTACAAACACGTTATAGGAATCACAGCAATAGAAAATATGTTATTTAAACACTGACCGAATCAATATTGATTACATGCACCTGAAGGAATGAGGATAGTTTTCCGATCAATAAGTCAGTCAAGGAAAATTATGACAATGACTTATATTTACAAATGATATAAATCTCTACGTAAAAGAAATTTCATACGACATCCAAATTTTATTTTTCGGAATAAAGTATGTGAAAGTAAAATGATAGTAATATTTCAACTAAACAGAAAATCTAATTTTCTACTCATTGGGATATTACAAATATACTACTTACTTATAACAATCTACCCAATGCTCAATTTATTTGAAATTATCAAATCAAACCTTGGTAATGATACATATAAGCAATTTTGCATTTAACATTGGTTGCATTTCAATGTGCTTGACAATGAGACGTGTCGCAAGCCATACATAATGCTTTTTAAGTTACATTTCCATATTTACCATTTAAAAATCCTCGTTATCTCAATAAAGATCTTGCCTTTGTTACTTACTTACGCCTGTTACTCCCAATGGAGCATAGGCCGCCGACCAGCATTCTCCAACCCAATCTGTCCTGGGCACTCCTTTCTAGATCTATCCAATTGCTGTTCACTCTTTTCGTGTCTGTCTCCATTTCTCGGCGTAATGTGTTCTTTGGTCTTCCTCTCCTCCTTTGGTCTTGAGGATTCCATGTGAGAGCTTGTCTTGTGACACAGCTTTGTGCTTTCCTTAATGTGTGTTCTATCCACTTCCAGCGCTTCTTCCTGATTTCTTCCTCCGCTGGGATCTGGTTTGTTCTCTCCCACAGTACGTTGTTGCTAATAGTGTCTGGCCAACAAATCCGAAGTATTTTACGTAGACAACTGTTAATAAACACCTGTATCTTCTGGATGACGGCTTTCATAGTTCTCCAAGTTTCCACCCCATACAGTAGAACTGTTTTGACATTTGTATTGAAAATCCTGACCTTGGTTGACAGCTGTTTTGAGTTCCAGATGTTCTTCAGTTGTAGATATGCTGCTCTTGCTTTACTTATCCGCGCCTTTAAATCTGCATCAGATTCACTGCGTTCATCAATGATGCCGCATGGAAGCCATATCATACGAATTCCGTATGATATTGACTATCTTCTGAGGTACGCCGTAGTGTCGAAGAAGTTTCCATAGGGCTGTTCTGTCCACGCTATCAAATGCCTTCTCGTAGTCAATGAAGTTGATGTAGAGTGATGAATTCCATTTAATCAATTGTTCCACAATGATCCGTAGAGTTGCGATTTCGTCTGTACACGATCAATCCTTACGGAATCCTGCCTGTTGGTCACGAAGTTGGGCGTCTACGCAGTCCTTCATTCTGTTTAACAATACCCTGCTGAAGACTTTTCCCGGTATTGAGAGAAGAGTGATGCCCCTGTAGTTATCACACTTGCTGAGATCGCCTTTCTTCGGTATTTTGATCAGAAGTCCTTCTTTCCAGTCTTTTGGTACTCGTTCCTCATCCCAAATCTTATTGAAGAGAATGTGGAGTATCTATGCAGTTACTGCTACGTCTGCTTTCAGTGCCTCTGCTGGAATGTTGTCCGGTCCTGCTGCTTTGCCACTCTTGATTTGTCTGACGGCCATGCTGATTTCTTCAATTGTTGGTGGGCCAACATTGATTGGGAGGTCCGTGGGTGCTGCTTCGATGTTGGGTGGGTTCAGTGGAGCTAGTCGATTCAAGAGTTCTTTGAAGTGTTCTACCCACCTGTTTTGTTGCTCTTCAATGTTGGTGATTACCTCGCCTTCCTTGGTTTTCACTGGTCGTTCTGGTTTGCGGCGATTTCCAGAGAGTTTCTTTGTTATGTCATACAGTTGTCTCATGTTTCCTTCTCTTGCAGCCCTTTCCGCCGCCGATGCTAAATCTTCCACATATTTACGTTTGTTGGTTCTGGTGCTCTTCCTTACTTGCTCGTATGCTTCTGTGTATTCAGCCTGCACCTTGGCTTTCTCCGCTCTTGCTCGGCCGATATTGATTGCTGCCTTCTTGTTCCTTATTTCTTGAATCTTATCCAGTGTATCAACAATAACCCATTCCTTGTTGCCCAGAACCTCATGACATGTTGGAGTGATTACCTCCCAGTTGTTCTCCATAGTAGTTCCCTCTCCATTGAGCAGCCCGTGAAAGGCCTGGAACCTATTGCTTAGGGCTATCTTGAATTTGCTGAGTCTGTCAGTATTCCAAAAGAAAGGCCGTACTAAACTTTTGTGATGCTGTCCAGTTTCAGCTTCATCTTGGTGACCAGAAAGTGACGGTCTGAGGCTATATTAGCTCCTCTCTTGGTTCTTGGCATTTAGGTCTCCCATCAGAATGGGCATTTCTCAACGATTGACTGCTGCCTATCCTAGAATTGATCTTTAACGTCTTCATTGTGATCGTTGGTAGGCGGATAGCATTGGATGACGTTCAATTTAATGCCCTCTTTCTTTGTTTTGGAGGCTTTGATACTCCTGGATCCATGACATTCCCATCATGTAAGTGCTTTTTGCGTTTATTTGGATAATATCAGTGCAACTCCTTGTGTAAGTGGAGCATTTTATTTTGCATGGCCTGAGTATATCGGCAGCTCTCCATAATCTAGTCTTTGTTGTCCAACATGCGTTCAACGTGTTTCACTGATTCCAGACAGCTCCAAGTTGTATCTTTTCATCTCTGCAGCAACTTGGATGACTTTTGTGGTCTCGCACCTTGTACGAACATTACATGTACTTAAATTAATGATTGCTCCGGATGTCAGGACATCAGCCTACTGACTTCCGAAGGAATTCGGAATTCATGAAGGGACATCAGAACTCTTCTAAATGAAGACCTCCTAACTCCCAGAGTGGAACTTAAATAATTTGCATTATTTCTTCTGGTTAGCGTTTTAGTCTTCTACAAGATGAGGACGCTATCCCATGGACAGCCCTCACGCTCATCCAAGATTGCGACCGGCAGAAGCCCCAGAGAGGGTTTTTGTTACTAACGTCGAATCGATTTTCACCCAAGGAGCTAGCCGTATAACTCTCGAATCTAAGGTAACTCGACTACAGCTATCAGTTGAACGATGTGATGTATTACGCCTGAACGTTAATCCATACGGTAAACACAGAACATCAAGGCTTCTCCAAAACCCCACAGACAAGTCAGTTAGAAATTAGAATGAACACAGGATTTCGCTTCGTTAGGGTTATACTAATTCGCGTATATCAACATATATCACTGTTTGAATGAAAATAAAACCATAGAGCACGTAACAAGCGAGTCCTCTCCATCCTTCCGATAATCTCATGATACTCACGAGCAAGTTTGACCTTTCATACATATAAAATTCGTGTCCATATTAATCCAATTGACCATATCGTCCATTTTGGGTGGAATTAGTCAGCTTGCCTGCACTTACTTCCTTATTTTATTCATTGTTTGTCTACTTGGACTATATACAACTAAGGCATAAGCCTACTCACCGAATCGGGTGGTATGCTAATTTCCCAACTCAGTTCGAATACTTACTCTCTCGGTCTCGCAATACATTTGTTTGACACACGTGTAGAGCAAATGAAATGTCACTGGACCCTTACCAAATCACCCGGCGGTCGTGTTACTAAATGCCTGAAAGTTCACCGATCCTCCTCAAGTCCAGAGACAGCCAACACGCATCAGTTGATTACACGCAATGGACTAGCCAATGCGGTGATAGTCGCACTTTATTCCTCTACCTACTCTTTCCAATATACTCCTCTAATAACGTCCATTGCGTTACACAGTCTTCAGAGCAGCCATAGTACCGTGGTACGATGAAACAGCAATCCACGTTAAGTGCAACTTCGGAGTTACCTGTTTCGTCACACTACTCCCTCCTTACTCCAGTACGCCCCTACTCATTCAGCTCAGATCATCTATGTTAGTGACCTACATGATATTCCTAAAATTTCGCATCTGACTTTCAATCCCGCGTTGTGAATACGTGACGTCTTAGATTATGTAGGAGATTAATCCGTGATACATATGTAGGGGACTAATATTATTGAGTCAGATGGCCTATCAAAATTGGTGAGCCTAATGTGGTTTTTATCACCTTTTACATACCTTTTATTAAGAATTGTGAAATGAACTCAATCTGGTGTATTTCGCGCGGACCCTATTTATCATGAATCTTTAAAGCCTCCGATAACAATTCGCAGGCAGTAAGTACCGTCAAGCTACTTTCTCCTAAAATCTATTGAGTGTTTCACATCTAAGTAGAACGACAATAGTCGCCGTTTGCATGCAGTGTAGTGTTTGGGAGTGGTCAGTGCTTCCAATTTTTTATTCTCTTCATTTAGTACGGCTAAATGCGTCTGGTCAGTCATAACTGCTGGTACTGCTTATGTGTTTAGCTTGTCCTTTATAGCTTCGAATAACTGCTTGATTCCAGGTGAAGGACGAAGTGTTCGTGATCACTTTTGTAAGTAGCCCATCTATGCTGTAGAATAGCAAAGTTAGGGACGACTCCCAAGAAACCATGTAGCTTCCGGACAGGTCAAACAGCAAGTAGTCGTAGTTACTCTGTACATCATCTAGGTTCTTTAGTAACTTACATAAAGGCCGATGGACCGCCCTAAACTCACTTACTAATTCATGGGAAACCTGTACTCATTCAATCATTCAGTGCTCCAGGAAAGTTAGATGTTGCTTCGGTTTTGCTGGCTACAAGTAGGTATTTACAACCTGACACAAGTTTCCAACACTTAGTGTTAACAAACCAGGTTAGCACAGCCAGATAAAATTACCGAGAAAAATCCCAGAGTAGTAGGGGTAGTAACAGTTTCAATATTAGGCAAGAAACAGAAAAAAGTGATACAGAGAACTTGGGTTCGAAGTGACAGGTAGAAAATGTAACTGTGCCACTAGAAACGACCCTAGGACCATTCAAAGCCACTAATATAAGCCCCCGGACACCAGACCTGTCACTAACCACAAAACGCAAAAGAACTCCTCAACACGCACACAAAGACTCCTGGAAATCGATCGAATTTCAGTTTACCACCACACAGCTATCCATCGTGGCATTACAAAAACTGCCGTCACTACTAAGCATTCTTCGAGTTAGGTGGCTTTGAGTCAGAAAATAAACTTATTCTACGTTCTACTCTTACGGTTGAATGAATTTGCACTAGCAACACTAATAATGAGTTAGAGGGAGCGCGGCGAATACTCAATTAGAATGGTCATCGTTTCAGGTTCATTGGGAAAAAATAGAGTTTATAGGCAATATTGTAATAAGGATTTCTAGGACACGAATGTCCAAATCAACTAGGATGTCTATCACCCAAGCGCAAAATACTAGTACGTATGTACATCAGTATCATAAATCTTTAGCACAGCATGAGTTGATAGGGCAAATCCGAAAGTAGATGTAGTAGCAGTATTAAAAGCAATAACAGACTAGACATCCAAGACACGACTCAAGAAAATCTATGCTGGAAATAATGTATGGGAAATCCAGAAGCTTAGAACATAGAATAGGATAACGTGAATGCAAGCATAACACTACAAACGACTTTTAACTGTCGTCAAAGTTCCTGACCACTGGATACGACAATCACCCGGACCCCAAGTCGCCCAGTGTAGATGTCAATGACTGTTCTGCTTTTCTCCAATGCTACTTCCACAACAGACAAAGTCCGAAACCAAAAAAACCTACTCTGTGAGGTTCTTAAACTGATACGAAGGTGCTTAATGATAAACTGTCTCTTTACGTCAACACAATGCATGCAGTTTATTACCTCAAGTTATCTTGGTAGCACAAGATGCACTCTATACATAAACGCCTAAATCCATGTGTTACCTTAGGAAGTCCTCCAAAAAAACGTGAGGTCGATACTGGTCCTGTCCCGAACACAGTCAACTGTAGTCAGGACCTTCCAGACAGTAGACCTTATGGCTATCTGTAGGGGAAGGCAAACCAGCTAAGAAAATCAAGCCAGAAATCTACACGCAACAGAATTCGGTGTTCATCATAAATAAGTCCACGAATTGACATGCACATGCTAAAACCACGGAGAAGGAAAGTAGTGGAAGCCTGTTAGTTCTAAGTTGCTTCCTATCCTTTATTTTACTCATAATTCTCGAACATCCAACTAACTCACGAATAGCCTGCTCCAAGCTTTATGTTTTACGATCCTTTTAACACTGACTAGTAACTGATCAATCTGTGCAACCCTAAATGTCATCAGTAAACTGTGATACACGGTTTTACATAATAACTCATGAGAAACTTACACCAAAGAACCGTAACTCCCATCAGTAAGTACAAAATAACGGTAAACAATCAGAAAATTGACATAGATCTTGTATGACATGAGGGCTATAATAAATATTACAGAACAGAGTTTAGCCGTCGTTTTCAACATCTCCCTCAGCTGTTTGGTCACTGGCCCACAACTAATTAGTCATATTAGAAAAACTAATAGAAATCTTACCGTCAAATTGTCTCTTAGAAGCTGCATAATTAGTGTGCTGTCTTTGTAGGAATCATCTTGAAGCTGATCTAGTTCTGCTATTGCTGAATCGAAGGCGCATTTAGCTAAATCGCACGCCTTAGCAGAATTATTTTGTATTTCGTAATAAAACACAGAGAAGTTAAGAGCTAAACCAAGACGGATAGGATGAGTGGTAGGCAAATTTTCGGCAGCCGTAGTAGCTTTCGTGTAGGCATCCAATGATTTCTGTACCACTTCTGTTCGAGCATCATCAGTGGCAACCTCAGCGAGATACCGGTAGTAGTCACCTTGCATTTTCAGAAAGAAAACTTTGCTGTCATCGGGACTTGCATTTGGAAGCAGATAATCCTCAAGTAGAGCCTAGAAACATCGTTACCACTTCGCGTCCAACTTACCAAAACTTGATTACAAATAGTGTTCAACTCCTTTTCCATTTTAATACGGTACTCTTCTGCTATTTGTTTCTTGGTACAGTCATTTACCGCTTTCATCTCACTTCCATGTATCACTCTCCATGCTGATCTTCTAGCACCCACAACATTTTTATATGCCACCGACAGTAAATTCCGTTCTTCGTTCCCTAAATTCCCCGAAGCCTCGGTATACCGCTTCATAGCTGCCGCCATGTCATCATATCGTTCAGCCTGCTCAGCAAGTTTGGCGATATGAACCAAATCAGTGTTAGATAAGTCCTTGCACTGTAAAACCCACGACGTAGTCATGACAGTACAGTACCACAACAGAGTGCTTGTGAAAACTAGTCAAACTGGCGCGTAAACTTAACTAATATATAGATAGGTTGTAAAACTAGTTCCACTCCTCAAAGTCAAATCTCAAACTAATGACCAAAGATTTTATTAATAATTATTTTTGATTTTGGTCATCTTACAGAATTTTTAACTGTTTTGGTGAAATTCTGTTTTATTTCGAGGTTATTGATTATTTGTCGACATAAACAATATTTGATCATAAATTTATCGATCTTTCTCGGTATGATCAAATTAAGTTCTGGCTTTAGATTTTCTCTCTCTATCTTTGGTCAACTCTCCATCAACTAGCCAGCTGATCAACTAACCACATATCCTGCCCTTAACCAAACACAGGCCTTCACTATCTCTCTTATGCGTAGAATGGCACTACCAGCAATACACGGTTCCCTAAACTTCACTGATGTCTATAAATGTATTAAAGTATTCGGTACATTTTATCATGACTATTCCTTCAGCTGTGTATTTAGCCCAGATGTCATTGAAAACCTCATTATACAAATGACTGTACAACAGGTACATTTCTCAATTTGCGTCAAGTTACCTGGTTCAATTTGTTGTTACTTTTTCAGTACTCATATATCTGTAGTAAATTTCTTTCTGTGTAGGTTAATTTTAAGAAAATAATAACGAACAGTGAGTATATTTTCACAGAGTGTATGAGTCAATGGAGATAAAATGAATTCTGTATAATAAAGTGCATGTTATGCCTTAAGGAACCCACGATACCATAAAACAAGTTGAACAACGAAATCACTCTACATAGTTGAGTATACGAAAAACAAATTTATACCCTCTTACATTTATATCAGCTTATCTAAAGACCAATGACTTCACAACTCCATCCTAATGGGCAGTTCACAACTATTTATAAATCCAGCTTCAAGGAACACATGGTCCAACACCAGAAATAAAGTTTTGTAAGTATAAATCTCCCAGTCAACTGTTCTTACAAGACGTAATATTTTATCCAGTTACACTGCATATTCATTAAATATTCCCACTAAAACAAGTTGAGTGAAGATGTATTTATATACACATGCATTATTAGTGAGTAGAAAGTCGATACCCTAATAGGTGGCGGTAAGTCGATTTATTACAAGTAGTTACATTAGAGTAGCAGCAGGAATTAAAATTGGATGTAAATATAAATGTTTTCGTTATCTGTGAAATTAGTGATGACTAATTAGAAGGACAGGTGCAGTAAAACGTAAATAAGTTAGGTAAACAGGTTACGTAAGATTAGAATCAAAAGTCCAAATGTTAACAAGATAGAAGTTCGGAACTTTCCAAGAGAAGAGAAAGAAAGGTCTTAAAATGAGTATTAGTATTTAAGTAGAAAGCCAGGGTAGAATTAAAAACTGAATAATTTTTTCCTGTATACAAAGCTTAGGTTTTTTGATGTATATTCCTATGGTCATTCCTATGTCCTCTGTTATATTTATGTACACGCACCCCCACGAGGATTGAATTGGGGAGTCGTCTACGGACGGTAGCTGACAGATGCAACACAAGTGAAGACCGTTGCCACACAACTCCGCCTACTCTCCTTATTTTCACTTTGTTAACTGATGACTGGATTATGAAGACCTCCAGAGTTCAAGAAAGTATTGAGTATAACGTATAGTGATGTGAAGAAAGAAACAAGGAAAGAATAAAAAACAGCGTAAACCATCAGTTGGAATATCATCTCGTTTGATTCGATCATTCAACAATGATTCTCGTGGTCTCAAGTTGGTTGATATCTGAATGATTCATACGAAAGCCATGTTGTTGGTTTCCGATGTATGAAACTACTGTATATTTCATTCGGCTTAGCAACATCCTGTTGAAAACTCTGTCTGAAACCAACAGTAGTCTGATCCCTCTGTAGTTGTTACATTTACTAAGGTCATTGTTTGGGATCTTAATGAGATTTTCCTCTTTCCATTGATATTGATATTGATATCCAGGTTGTATACAACTAGACAAGTTGGACTTCACAGATAAACTGGCTCTTCTATCACATACACACAAATAAATGCAGATCAAGACAAACAATATAGCAGCAATCTCTACATCAATAGGCATCAACATACACAACCGAAAAACAAAGATACTCAATTAAAACACTGAGAGCACCACCACAATCACACTTCATGCAGAAAATCTGGATCGGTTACGATCTTTCACATTACCCACCTACCTACCTACCTACCTACCTAGGTAGGTAGCATCATCGATGAACGAGGAGGATCCGATGTAGAAGTATGGGTAAGGATTGGCAAAGTAAGGACAACATTCATACTGTCGAATAATATATGGAACTCAAATCAACTGTATTCAAGTCAACATCAAAATCATAATCTTCAATACGAACGTCAACACACTTCTACTATATGCAGATGAAACTTCGAGAACTACCACAATCATCATGGAATTAGTACAAGTATTTATAAACAATTGTCTACACAAGATACTCAATGTCTGTTGATCGGATACCATGAGCAGCACAGTGTACTGTGGTAGAGAACAAAGCAGTTTTTGTGTGAAGTGGAAATTAGGGAGAATATGTTTGAAGTGGTGGATGGTACATACATTGAGGAAATCACCGAATTGTATCACGAGGCAAGCACTAATTCGGAATCCTGAAGGGAAATGGGAGAGAGGAAGGCTGGAAAACACACTGCATCGATAATTGTAAGGAGAAATGAGAAGGATGAATAGGAACTGGGAAGAACTCAAAATGATTGGGCATGACCTAGTTGTATGGAGTAAGCTGGTGTTCGGCCTATGCTCCTTCACAGGTGGTAACAGGTGTTATTAAGTAATATTGAAGAGTTAACAACGATCACCGTAAAATAATACTAATAATGCTGAATTGCGTACGTCTGATTTCATTAATTGACGTGGAGAGGGTAACAAACTCAATCACTGGTATTTGTAATGCAACTAATCAACCAACCAGTTCGCATGAATAATTTGTTACAATAAAAAAACTTTATTATTTTTTAAATGGAGCACAAATTTAATCGGATCTTTTTGCTTCTTAGATTTACATGAATTAAACAAGTAAAATAGATGTTTTTATCTTCATTCACCACAAAATACGTAGGATAAAAAATATATTTTAACGTTTGAATTCATGAGTCGATCAAATCTAGACCACCATTAAAAACCTGTATGCACTGAACGGTCCTTTCGTCCTAGTTAGACGTTAACACCGATGGATGCTGGCTCAGTTGTTTAGAGGTTAAGCACTCACGCGCGAGACCGAAGGTCCTGTATTCATCTCCTGTGTGTGGGATCGTGTTTGCACACTTCTGAGAAGTCCAATACTATGGCAAAACGACCGTCCAGTGCTTCCAGATTTTCAATTCTGGTCTATCTTAGATCGATTGATAAATTCAACTGTTGAAATTATCACAATCTCTTCAAAACCTCATTCTGATAAATAATATGTTTCTCGTTGTTTTTTACCCGATACACTGTAAATAAGTTTCATACACATAGTTCCCTTTATTATCTTAAATAGAGCAAGAACAAAGATTGGTGCAGAATAATATGAATTCATTTTATTTCGTTAGGTTCTCATCAGCTGCTTACAACCTAAATTATTTGAAATTCAACATTATTACAGATATTGACATATTTATATATAAGAGTGTGATTAAGGATCAATACATGTGTATGATGATGTAGCGAAGATTCCGATAGAGTTAATGAGCTCATAAAATGTTTGATTCGAATAAATAAATAAAGTTTGAGAGGGAAAGTTCTGGAACATTGAAATAGTGATTAGAACTCATGAAAATAGATTAATGGTAATAAAGAAAATATGAATTGAAATCAGTTAGTTATGTATGATGTAATTTATATTTCAGAAAGAGTTGCAATAATGACGTAATAAGTAAATAAATAGGAGCAAATTAATAGAAAGAGTGGGGGTTATTGTTACCAGGGTAAAGAAAGATTTATTACTGTCTCTTTTTGTATACATAGATCTGGTTTAAGCGTTTGATTGCTAACGCTTCAGCGAATTTCAAAAGGTTCGTGTTTGATTGTTTGTTAATCACCTTGAAGGACTTCAGTATATCAGCTTTATGTCCTGTATCAAGGAGATGTCTTGCGATAGCACTGTTGAATGCGTTCAATCCATTTAACCTTAAACTTTTCGGAATATGTTCTTTGAATCGGACGTAGGCTCTCCTTTCTGTTCTACCAATGTAACTGCTTTGGTTTCAATTCATATTTTCTTTATTACCATTAATCTATTTTCATGAGTTCTAATCACTATTTCAATGTTCCAGAACTTTCCCTCTCAAACTTTATTTATTTATTCGAATCAAACATTTTATGAGCTCATTAACTCTATCGGAATCTTCGCTACATCATCATACACATGTATTGATCCTTAATCACACTCTTATGTATAAATATGTCGATGTCTGTAATAATGTTGAATTTCAAATATTTTAGGTTGTAAGCAACTGATGAGAACCTAACGAAATAAAATGAATTCATATTATTCTGCACCAATCTTTGTTCTTGCTCTATTTAAGGTAAATAAGTTTGTTTACGTGTACTAAGCCAGCAGATTAAGAGACTATGTACTAACGCGAAATCAGAAGTTGAAGACATTTTACACTCTAATAAATCCCAATAAATCAAACTCCAAACTTTATGTATATTGCTTCAACTATGCCAATGTGATAGATTATTTACTCTGGTTTGTTTGTTTGTTTTTTCAAACGTCTTTCCTAAAATCCATGACAAAATATGACAGTACTAGTTCTTTATTACAAAATAAGGTTTCAAACCCATTCAGAGATGGCATAATGAGATCCAACTCCGATAGACCATATAATGATTAAAAAGGAGCCTCTTTCATAAGAATTCATTTATCGAACCAAGGAACTGTCACAAAATGATAAATTATGTGCAGCTAAGTAATCAACTTTTATTGCAGCTGAAGCAACAAGTGGTCAGATTATTGGGTAGTCTCAATATTATCAAT